GACTCACTGTGTGAATCTTTGAGCTCTAACAAACGTTGAATGTTTTTCCTTCGTCATAAAACGTTTGCAAAGAAGATTTTGTGTTACCCTGCTATGTTTAAATCCATGTTTATTTGTTCTCAGTCTTTTATGTTTCTTTGCGAGTTACCTCAATCGACACATATAAAGATTAACGACATGAGAGCTCCCTAATACTGAAGCCAACCCTCTCTATCTCCCCTGGTGGCTGACTGCAGTATAGACCCTCTCTATCATCAGCAGTTTGGTTTTAATGAGTTATTTGAAGATATAAAAAGGGGGTTTCACTTCATGATTAGCAGCTGAGACTCTGTCTCCAAAGTCACCAGAGCAAGATGGCAGCAGCCGTATTTGGAAAAGTTTGGCTTCATATTTCTTTACAGTGACAGGAAGTTGAGACATCCATCTTTTATATGTCAATGTTTACCTCCTACTGTGAAAAATTAGGAAAACACAGGAAAACACAACATACGTGAATAATATATTCCAGTAATGTGACACACTGGAGCTTTAATGAACAGCTCGTTTGGAAGAGTCGGTGCAACCAGAGCGACTGAGAACAATCAACAGGATCAGGTGTTGGATGTAGATTTTAGTGGATTTGACAACATTTTTTTGCTCAGGAGGAGAAAGTGCTGACTGCTGCATCAGTGTCAATATCTACAGTTTGTTTTGACAGAGGACGACCTCAAACACACACACACACACGTCTCTGTGGGGTTTGTGTGGTCGATAAAGTGAAGGTGTGTGTATGTGTGTTTGATGTCAGCGTTTATTCTGAGGAAAGACGAGTTCACCTTTTTCTCTGCAGCAAACATGTCCTGAATAACATTTAAGACATGGAAATATAACAGGAGCAGCTCTCACACAGACCTCAGATCAACTCAATGCTCTGTCAGCCAGCTGAAGTAGCTCTCACACAGACCTCAGATTAGCTCTGTGGACTGTCGGCCAGGATTATGGTGCTTTTATTCTGAAAATCCTCTCAAAGCTCAGTCACTGAGGCATCAGTTGAATAAAACAACAGTGTGAGAAGAGTATGTTTTCGTTAGAAACAATAAATCATTTGTTTTGGTATGAATAAAAGTTAATTTCCCCAACTATGAAAGACAAATCATTTCTTGACTTAGGCTTTTCAGATAAATTGACCTCTGAATTGAAAATAGACTGACTGAGAGTTCTGCTATAAATTCACCGCCAAATTTCAATGTTAAAAAAGCCTCTCAGCCTGTACGTATGTGTCTAACCTCTAAATGTGTTCTCAGCCCTCCTTCAGCTGTCTGTGACCACTGAAATTAAATATAATTAACCTCCAGTCCCCTTAGGACGGATGTGAGAATAGAAATGTTCAGGGTGGACAGACAGACAGACAGAAAGTTAAACACACATTGAGAGGAACGGACACTGCCGCAGTAACGAAGCAGGTTTAACAGCTCGGACGCCGTTTGAGGGCGACAAATATTAATGAGGGAAGGTGAACAGAGACGACTGTTTGACTTTTTGTCTTTGGACTGATGAAGCTATTGTCCTACCTAATTCAGATTTATTTTTAGTCAAATTTAAGTCCTGTGGAAAAGTTTTTGATAAAACGTAAAACTTTTCTTTTTAGAAAAGTCGTTTTTTATGTAGTTTTAGTTGCGTTTACGTCCTATACTAAACTATATAAAGGTTGCATTCAATATTCTTTATACAAGGTAAAATACTGTAGTTATTAAAGAGTGCAAGGTGCGCTAGAACAGTGGTTCCCAACCGGGGGGTGGGCACCCCCTTGAGGGGTCGCTGAAGCTTCACAGAGAGGCCTTCTTATTCTCTCAACCTGTCTGAAGTAAACCCAGAGGTTTTTGACAGTTGTCATTAATGAAAAGAAACACTGATGGTGATCCACTAGAACGTTCATCTGTTTGTCCAATACCAGATTTAAATATTTTATTAATCTAATGATTAAATGATCTTAATTGAACATTTGTGGTAATTTTTGTGGACCTCTCAAGTTGATCATTTCAGTTGAACAATATTTTCTCTTCTATATCTGTTGTGTTAAATTGTTGGTAATTCCAACTGATCACTTCCTGCAGTTTCACATTAAAAGCTTTGTAAAGGCCAATCACACAAATGTGAAAGCATATTACTCCGACTCTTTTTCAGTGGATCAGTTTTAAATGTTCAGAACATCCAATATCTTTCTCTTCTGTTGAATAAAAGGAATCACTCATCCTCTGCCAGTCGACTGGTTTTGGGAGAAGATACGTGGGTTTCATTTCATGCTCAGTTCCCCCGTGAAAAAACAGGAAAATATTTGTGATCAGATGTATTGTGGGTTTAGTGGTTTTTGGGATCCCCATTAGTTGTTGCCTTGGCAACACCAACACACTGGAATAAATGCACAAAAATACAGTATTATCCAAGGTGGTGATACGTTGGTATCTGTCAAAGATACGGTCGGTATGCAGAACATACAGACTGGATCTTTGACACAATTTATTTTCATATGATGGACAGATCTGGAAAGAGATCCATAAACCTGAACACCATTAGATCTTTTCAGATACAGGTCCTTTTTGTCCAGTGACAACTCTTCCTGGAGTCCATATTCAAATAAGATGTGTGTATTTACAGTTCATACAATAAACATACAACATAACATCAAAATCAATTAGAACAAATTGATTTGATTGATTTTATTAGCATTTATTCCTGGGGTCCACAAAGACAACAAAACCTGATAATAGAAAGGACACACCAAATATTGAAATCAGAAAAATCATGACAGCTAGCTAGTCTTATTGTCAAACATACAGACAAATAATATTAACTGTTTGTCGACTGTGGCAGTGTTATTGACTTTGAATCTAGCAAGAATAACATTAGCTCTCTGGCTCGTAGCGTAACGTTAGCTGTAGCTTGTAAATATTTGGCTAGTTTTATGGCCCATTAGTCTTTCAGTGGCTGATTTTTATGATAGTTTTAAGAATTATAACATAGCAAACACAGCCCACTGGCAGATTTCTTTGCTCAACAGAACAATATTAAATTATATTTAAGAATATTTGACTTGTTTCTAGAAGGGCTGTTTTTGCAGTGTACTCATAATCCGAAGATCTTCTATTTGTGAAAGATGTCTTTGAGTGGACAGATACGTTTGTTTACATTGTTGTTCTCATTTAAATCAGGGTTAATGTTGATCACAGGGTCCTCATAAAGGCATGAACACCATTGTGTGTTAATGAGCACGTAAACACACACTCATCCTCCTTGATGAAGGACGCAGTCACATGACACAACACACACACACACCTGTACTCTGAGTGTGTGTCTGATTTTGTATGCTTGACTGTGACACACACACGCACACACTGAGACAAGGTCGCAGCCTCTGATTGGCTGTCTCTAGCTGTGACTCTGGGTTTGAAGGTTTGTAGGAGGAGGCGAGGTGATCAGTCACTGACACAAACTTTAACGTCACCTTGCTGCTGCAACCTCCTCCGGGGGTCCCCTCAGGACCAAAAACCACTGATTTAAACCTGATCAGAGTAAAGTTATGATTTCTGTAACTGGTGGAACAACGTAAAAAAAATAAATATTAACATGAACATTTTCTGCATTTTTCTTTTGAAAAGCAAATTTAAAAACCCAAAAGAGAACCGGTGCTCTTCGTCCCCGCTGTCTGAATAAAGTTTTCTGTAAGAGGATTTTAATTTGACCTGATGGAGTCAGAAATCCAAAAACTCTCCTCCACCTCAACATGTGAACACAGAGCATGCTGGGAAACGCAGGGACGGCCATCAGAGAGAATATGAGGCAGAGTGAGATAATAATGAATGAGGGGCTTTTAAAAGTAGGTCGGAGACACCGGTTTATTTTAATATCATTCTGGACTCTGTATCTGCAGTTATGTGCTGAGGAGGTGGTGAGGAGGAGATTAAGGAAGTGATGAAGGAGGTGATGAAGGACTCTTGATGATCAGAGTTGTTCTACAGACCTCTGGCTCCTCCGTGTGGACGCTGCCTGAACTGCAGCTCCACTCTTCAGACCGACGCTGACAAAACGCTGCGTCAGCTCCATTTTTTGCTGATCGTCTGCATTTTTTATTGAAAACGTGGAGTTTGTGTCAACAGCAGGAAACTTATTATTCATAAATATATTCACAGTTCATCTGCAAAATTGCACATTGGGAAGGAAAATGTTGAGTGAAGATTAGACTCTTTAATAAACTCTAAATACAGCTTTACGTTCCCACAGCCACATTCATTACATTATTTACAATCATTATTATTCAGTTAGAAAGAGGAAAAAAAGGAAAATGAAGATATAAGAATGAAAACAAAATACCAGATTATAACAAAAATAAAGTGTTTATATAATTAAATAAGAAGAAAATAAAGACGTTTATTACATCATATACATTAAAATACTTAAAAATAATGGGTTTATTTCCTCTTGTACAATTTATTAAATCAATTTAAGGACGCAACTATTGATTATTTTCATCATCAATTAGTCTGATGACTCAGATTTTTTAACAATCTGTCCAGTAACTGTTTTATTGTAAATCACTTCAGTTATTCATCAACTGACCAACCAATCCATTAATTAACTAATAATTTCAGCAGTAAACAAAGAATGCATCAGGAGAGGATGACGATCATTTTCCAACAGAGACAAGACACAGGATGAGCTGTGAGTTTGTAAAATTAGTTTTAAAAACCAGTAAATGTCGTATTTGAACAGTAAATGTCATATTCTGGTGCGAGCTGCTGAGAGTTTTGGTGTTGGAAGTTAAAACCGTCTAAAAGCTAAAAACAGACGTCCTGCAGGCGGCTGTTTTTTGCATTATCCTGTTTAAATCGATGACCACTGTTTGTGAGCGAGTGCTGTCCTGTACTGTCAAGAAAAACTCCTGGAAAATCTCCTGGAAAACAGCATAGCCGAGTTGAAAGGGTTGCATCCCGTCTAACCTCCCTCTGTCTCTCTCTCTCTGTCAGATATGGTGACATGGTACCAAAGACCATCATGGGGAAGATCTTTGGCTCCGTCTGCTCTCTAAGCGGCGTGCTGGTCATTGCCCTGCCGGTTCCCGTCATCGTCTCCAACTTCAGCCGAATCTACCACCAGAGCCAGAGAGCCGAGAAGAGACGAGCGCAGAAGGTGAAGTTAAACTTCAACTCTGGAGTGACATCTAACGGTTAAAACTCAATGAAGTTCAGTTGCATCGGCACAGAAGGAGGTGAAACCTGAGGTTGATCATCTACAGTTAAACAGTGCTGTAAAATATCTCCTCTTTATCAGGTGGAAGAAACATTTCTAAGGAGACAAAAGAGGCACAAACACAGTATTATGTCTAATCACAGCTGATTTTTTATTGTAATCCTCAGAGAACAGAGAGAGGAAACTGTGTCCAGAGTTTTACTTCCTCCCAACATCAACAAATGAGTTTTGAGAGACTTTTGTTTATCCCGCAGGGAGAGCAACACAAGTTGAATCATTTCTCTGTCTGCTGCTCTGAATACCACAACAGTTATCATAATCTGACTTAATATGTCATGAATATGAGATCCACACCTCGTTATTGACAAGAAAATATCTCATATTTATGGATATGAGATCCATATCTCACAGTAATGACAAAAGAGATGATTACAAAATCTATGATTTATCATCACGCAAGATATTATGGCAGCACTTTATATTAAAGTACACATATTAACCATTTACTTGCTTATGAGCATGCATATTAGTAGCATATTGGCTCTTTAGGGTTGTACAATTTTCAATGATTATGGTTTATTAACTTATTTAACCTTTTAGCTGAAAATTTACAGATACAAGGATACAAATAATTTCAAGATATTCTCAAGAAATTATGTCACAATAAGAAAAACCAGTGTAGACACTTGAGGACCATTTCTACTGCAGAGTTATTGGTCTGGTGGAATAAAGCACAATAAGGCATTAATGCGTGCTTTATAAGTCATTATGTGAAAACCACAAAATAAATCTTTCAAGAACAGCAGATCTCACACTCAAAGAACCCGATTGGACGGGCTGAACTGACGTTTGTATGTGTTCACAAACAGAAAACCAGGCTTGCTAGAATTCACGTGGTGAAGAGCGGAGGGGCTAACGCTTATTTGCAGTACAAACAAAGCCGGCTGCTGATTGACCTCGATGAGGAGGTAACCACGGAGATGCAGTCATCGTCGGGTGGTGCTGGTGTTTTTTATCCTTTTGATTTCTTTCATGTTTTCGTTGTTCTTGTCGAGCTGCTAGCGAACACGCTGCAGTCTGCTGCATGCTGGATGCTCGATGTGACCCGGAGGGGGGGGGGGTTGGTTGTTTACCTCCTCATACTACTTTTTCTTTGTTTTAATCTGTTTTTATTATCACGTCTTTGTTTCTCAGTGTGTTTCCATTCATCCTTCTATCCGGTTCAGCAGTAACATTAATCCACCGGACCTAGTTGATCATAAAACTTCTGGAACTTTACAATGCACAACAAAAACAATAATAATTTTCGCATTTTGTTATGAATTTCTGACATTAAATGAAACACTTTCTCGCAAAAGTCTCAATACAATACCCATGAGTTTATACTAGGGGTGTACATCAGATGTAGATAATGGGCTATGATATGATTCATTAATGATGCGTTTATGGAACAATTCGGTGCGATGTAATCTGATTTAATTTACCCATTTCCATTTATAAGCACATCAAATAAAATCAGATATCAGTTTGTTTTCCGTTTTTTGTTATAAATGGTTGTCAGGAAACAGCTTCTTTCTTGATTTTCTCATTAAAGAATGAAAATCTGTTCAGTGACCATAGTGACATAAATTTCTGATACTTTGGTTCTGCGTCCCGGCTCAGTATCAGTGATCATGGTTGGAGGGCCTCAGGCGGGCTGACTGTATTTGTTTGTTCTTATTTTTTAGTCTTATCAAAACAGTGAACTCTGCTAATGTGGCTTTAAAACTGATTGTGGGCCAACAGAAAATGTTACTGTTGAACTGTTGGCATCCTTAACGTCTTTATTTAAAATTTTCTTGATTCGTCTTCAGCTTTGCTCTTACACTGACACTGCACATAGAGAACCACCCTGCGTTAATCCGTCTCTAACTCACCTGTGCATGCCGTAGTGCTCAGGTGTCGGGCATCTAACCAACAGGAAACCAATGTCTATAAAGATTCCCGATCTCCACATCTCAGCTTCTTTCTTTGTCTGTGTTTTCTTTGGATTCATGTGTATTTTTATTTGATCTCCCATGTGGCTTGGCTGCTGACTAACTGGCCTGCGCTGCTCATAACATCATCACTACACGTTTTGGGTTCCATCGGCGTGTGGAGGAATGAGATCCGTCTGGGCTGCATGTCAATCAGCCAACCATGCGGCATGCAAAGGGGCGGAATCAATGCGATGCAGAGGAGATGGTGGACGACAAACTCTGACTTTCTCAGGAGTAGTCTGAGTTTTTGAGAAAATAGCTTGTTTTATGTCTTACCCAGATTCAAATGAAGATTGAGTATTAATAGTCTGGGACATATTGAGACTAAGGTAGGTGCTAAGCTAGGCTAGCAGTCAGAGCTTATTCCTGGTGACTCTAGGTCTGCAAGCCATTGGAAGCACTTAGAGACCCCAGGAGTGAGATGCATCACCTCCTTTAGAGTCCCTCCGAGGCCCCCAGGAGGAAGATGTATTACTTTCTTTAGGGAACCCCAGGATTGAATTGTGTCACTCCCTTCACGGCCCTCACAATATGTGGTTCATCACTTCTATAGGGTCCCCATTAGTGAGGTGCATCACTTACTTTAGAGTCCTTACGAGAACCTTGAGGAAGAAGATTTATTACTTCCTTTGGGGTCACCAGGGAGGTTTGTGACTTCCTTTACAGTCCATGGGATTAAGGTGTGTCACTTTTTTAGGTTCCCCAGGTGTGAGGTGCATCACTTCCTTTACAGACCTAGGTACATAGGATTTTAGGAACATCTGTCCCTTTAGACACACTAAAGGTGGTTAGTCAGGGCTGGCTTTCTGATTCTGGGAAGGATAGGTAACATGCATACTTCTTAAAATATCAGAGTGTTCCTTTGGCAGTACCTGAGCTCTTTGCCCCATGATGATCACAGAGTCTTCAGTCCCTCTGTCCGTCCAACTGCGTCACATTCAGTCTGAACCCCTGACTATTATGAGTACGGTGGCTCTCTTGGATCAAATGAGACTCAAGTCAAAATAAACAAGCAGAAACACAAACACATTTAGAGAAGCAGTGATAAAGTTGCTGAACGGCTGCAGTCGGTGGCCTGAGTTTGAACCAGTGAGCGATCCGTCACTTTCTAACTCCAGGAGGGTATTGTGGGTGAATAAAATTAGACAGATGAAATATTCTTACAGTGATTCTAAAAGAAGGTGGTTGGAACTGTCTATGTGTGTCACAGTGGGACCGGTGCTGTGGTTCTGGCTGGGTGGAGGCGTGTTCAATGATGGGCTCACTGTGTGTGATTTGTGTTTGTGCCCTAAAGGCGTCCAAGGAAGCCGGACAAGCGCTGGTGTGTAAGGCCAACCCCGGCTTTGAGGTGCATCATCATCACCTTCTGCACTGTCTGGAGAAGACCACGGTGAGAACACACACAGACACAAAAAAGTATAACATGATCAAATAAAGTTATAAGTTGTTCGTTAGCCTGATTTTTATACAGATAACATTGCTACTGGTTTAAATAAACAATCTGATGGTATTTACCATCTTTGTCGAGCAAAAGTTTTGTGCAAAAGGAATTAAAGGCCTGTTCCAAATAAAGGCAGGTTGAGTTCAGTGACTGAAACAAGTAAAAGTCATAGCTATTAAAGCTGTTCATTACCTCAAGAGGAGCATTACGCACCCCTGGCATTGTGTATCTGCTTGCACCATATGACATGCAAGGACACAGACGACTCAGTCATTAAAAAGAAAGAAAGAAATTTGAGAAACCTGAATGCAACCTGAGCCTGAGGATTTACGCAACATGAAGAGAACTTAAGATGAACAGTTTCTCTACACCTCCAAACCATACCTACATATTTAACTACAATCCAGTTCTGAATGACCTCCAGAAACTGGATGCAATCACTGTTTAACAATCATAGTGAACCATGATACAATCCTAACCGTAACCTTTGTGATCCGTTGCACCTCTAAATTACGGGTGCATTAACTCACCAAGTATAGACTTTTCTGATAAAAAAAATCTATATAAGTTGTTTATACTCTTTTTATACTTCCAATACTAGTCTCTATACTCAACTGTTATCACTTCTGATTAGAAACTTTTGTGTGTGTGTGTGTCCTATTTGGTGCTACCACTAGGAGTTGCCAAAGTCAGAAATGTTCAAATCCCGCAAACAGTGCCTTTAATACCTTTCCTCTAACATCCTGATGTTGTATCTGCCTCAGAACCACGAGTTTGTGGACGAGAAAACATACGAAGCGAGCTACAGGGACGTGACTCTGGTGAATCAGGTGTCCCGGTCTTCCTCCACCTCCTCCTCTTCCTCACCGCACGGCCTTAGCTCCTGCTGCAGCCGCAGGAAGAGGAAGACCTTCAACGTCCCCAACTCCAACATGTCTGTGGGTCTGCAGGGCAGCATCCAGGAACTGAGCACCATCCAGATCAGAGACAGACCGTTCAAAAACAGGTAGGAAACAGCTTATAAGGGTTTCTGTGGTCCTTGAGAAGGTACCAGAGGTCCTTGAGGATGTTTTAGAGATCCTTATAAAGGTTGTAGAGCTCTCAAAGACATTTCAGGGGAGACAAAGGACATTACTAATCTAGTATAAGTCATTAGGGAGGTATAAGAGGCAAATAAGGTGGTTCTGGCGATCCTTAAAGAGGTCCAAAAGGAGGTTTCAGAGGTTCTTCAGAAAGTTCCAAAGATGTTTTGGGAGGTTAAGAGCTCATTGTAAAGATCGTAAAAGTCTTTAAGACATTCTAGGGATCCTTTAGGAAGTTGCAAAGGCCCATAAGGAGGTGTTACAGGATTTTGAGGAGATTGTAGATCCCCTTTTGAAGGTTGTAAAGACCTTAAAGAAGTTCGGAAGTTTTCTGAGAACTTAAGGAGTTTTCAAGCATCATTGAGTTTGCAGACGTTCTTAACAGAGCTTGTTGAAAAAGTTCTAGGAATGCTTGAATATGTCCAAGGGATGCTTAAAGAGGCTTCAGGTGAACCCATTCCCTTGAAGAGATTTTATGTTTTAGAGAACACAGAGGAGGCTACACAGGAACAAGGAGATCCCTGTAAAGGTTGGAGATGTCTTGATGTCTCAACGGGGTACCACTGGTCATTAAGATGATTGCAGAGGTCTTTAAGGAGGCATTACATGCTGATAGGAAGGTTCTAATGATCCTTATGTATGTTGTAGGAATCCTTAAAGAGATTCCATGGGTCCCTGTACAGGTACCAAAACTCGTAAAGAGATTATTGGCACACTTAAGAAGTTCCAGAGGTGCTTGAGTTGGTACCATAGGCCATTGAGGACGTTTTAGAGTAAAAGGTGTTGAAGATGTTCTGACAAGGTTCCAAAGGTGTCTGAGAAGGTTATAGAGGTTTTTAAGGAGGTATTAAGTGTGGTTATGAAGGTTCAACTGATCTTTAGGCTAGGTCCCAGAAATCCCTGAAGAGAGTTAGGTGGTAAGACAGTATGAAACATTACTGTTTACCTTGAGCCCAAGTTTAGAATGATGGTTAAACTGTTGACCTGAACTATGATTGACACCTGACAGCCAATCAAAGAGGACATTTTTAGGCTATGATATAAAGTAAATAATAATGGCTTTATATATTGTTTACAGTGCTCAATAGCTGCTTTTGAATGTAATTTATATAATCTAATGCATTTTTAGAGGAGACCTGAGGAGGAGACATTCTGCTTTAACTGGACGCAAACACATAAATGTATGTTATAAACAGTAAAACTCTGAGCCAAACACTCACAGACTCACTGTATATAAACACATGGCACCAAAGATCATGTAACTGTGTATTCCCATGTAGAGTCAGAGAACAGGAATCCAGAATATGTCCAGCTGTGGGAGACTGTGGGAGGTCTGGGAGCTCTGGGAACTTTCTCCTAAATATGGACAGCTGGGAACTCCTCTCTATTACAGCCTCCTCCTGTATCACTGCTGAAGCTCTGCTCCTCTTCCTACCCTCAATCCACAGGATAACGCTTGGTTAAAATCCAAAGTCCACAGAAACTCCTCTGTATCTCATATTTATCAACCTAATGCTTTTATGTTAACACTTGTACTCCATTACATCTCAGAGGGTAATATTGCACTTACTTACTACATTTATCAGATAGCCTTACAGATTTTTACACACAAACATATTAAGACTTTATAAAATTTGATGTTTTGTTGAAAAATGAAACTACCCAACAGTTTATTTAAATACAGCTGGAACCATCAGTCCATTAATCAATTAGTCCATTGATAGAAAATCAATAGTTGAAGTCTTTTTGGTTTCCCTTTGAATGATTTAAATAATTTGAATGTATTTGTAATAATACTGAGGTTTGAACTGTTCTTGGTTGGAATAAAGCATTCAATGGATTGTAATCATTACGCGTTAATTTCAGGGTGTGCACAACCAACGGTCCAAACAGTAAACTAACAAACTGAACTAATAATGACTTACGTAAATGTGAATTAATCAACCAATAATATCACAATTTAAGATCAATCAATCTTGAAACTTCCAGGAAACACGTAAACATACAGAAGCAAAAAGCTCTCTGGTTTCTGTTTAATGTGGACTTGTTTTGGGGGATTCAGTCCTACCTGAAGACCTCTGTTGGTCAAACTGAGATTTTAAGTTCCTTTGTTCTGTAAAGTAGACTCATCTTTTGATGTGTTGAGTCTCAACCACTCCTCTGTGTCCTCTCTGCAGTCGTTCCAGTCGATCCAGTCTGAACGCCAAATTTGAGGAGACGGTTCCTCTGAATTGCGACCAGTCGTACATCACCGCCGCCGTCATCAGCATGCCCACTCCACCCGGCACCACCCCTGAAGGCGACGACTCAACCAGCTCCACCAACTACTCCCAGGCCAACATCGTCCGGGTCTCCGCTCTGTAGATGATAACATCCTCCTTCAAACGCGGAAACACAACCCACCCAGCAGGAAGACGACGGGGGGGTCAGGGATTAGGGGTCGGGGGTTGACAGCCCCAGAACCACAACAGACTCAGATGGTGGGGATTTTGGATCATGTCCACGGTGGAAGTGACGGGTTAACCTGAATATTTCAAACCTCTGGTGGAGGAAAATGATAAAATATACACTTAAACTCAGCTGAACCCACATTGGATTGTAACTTTTCTTTGGTCTCGTAGGAAGGATTTTTATTCCAGCAGTCTGAGAAGAGATGACGGTAGAGCTTTGGCTGATGACTCATCTCTATCTGAGAGAAATTAAAAATCATCACCACTGCTATTTTTCCAATTCTGTATGTCTTTAAAATTGATGTCTCAAAACCAGAGAAAGCTGATGCTGATGTAGATTTCTTTACTTGGAATGCAGTTTAAAGGAAATGTCGGACATTTTGGGAACCATCTTACCAGAGTCAGATGAGAAAATAGCAATCAGTTTTTCAAACGTATTCAGTCTAGCTTAGCACAAAGAATGAGAGTGGTGGGAAACTGCTAGCCTAGCTCAATCAACCTTCCAACAAGTCTGTCTGATCTACAAGTAGTTTGTTGTTAGCTAACAAGCTAGTAATCAGACCATCCGAGAGTCTGTCTCCCGCCTCGATTCACTGATTTCAAAGGGAATCTGACCTGGTTGCAGACATTAATAATAACTAAATATAAATAGCCAACCTTCTCATCATGGCTTTGTTTTATACATTTATAACATTAAATAAAATGATCTCCAACCTCTGAAGGAGTTGAGCTAACGGTCTTCGAGTGCCAACAGCCCATCTCATTTTCTACTTGTGTGAATTAAACAAGATAAAATACGTAAAGTAAGATAGTTTTGAAGTTATTGGAAGGTTTTTTCTCTCTTAACATTATCTTTCACTCAGCTAGGCTAGCAGTTTACCTATCCTCTCACTTGTCTCTGGGTACATTAGCCCTGATTCAGACTGGACGTACTTTGTACCACGGTCCTGGACAGTTTTCTCAGATACAACCTTGATCAATATAATATTCATGATGAAAAGAATAGTGAGAATACGAACTTGTTTCCCGATTATCAGTCGGTGTCTTAAAACATAGAGTTGGAAGTGAGAACGTCCCATTAATGATTCTTACACTATGCAAACCTTTAATCCAGCAGCAGGTTGCGTTTGTGAACGTATTTGATCGACAGTCTGCGATAATCTCACCCGGACCGAAAGCTATGACGAAATCCAAGATTTCGTCAGTTTCTGCGAGCAGCTACTGAGGTTTATAATACATGGGAAGATTTATTTTATATTTAATTCATTTGACTATTTTTAAGCCAAAGAAAATTATTTTAAAGATATAATTAATAAGTAGATTGTTATTCCTGGCGGTGCGGTGAAGGCTTTCGAAGAAAATATAATCTAACGGCAAACTTAATAAATAAAATATGCAATTTTTAAAAAATGTTTTAGAGGGAACTATTTTTTATGTTTTATTATTTTGTTTATTTTTGTTATACTTTATTTTATTTCAATTTATATCTAATTTATTTTTTGTATTCATTATAATTTTGCTATTTATTGTTATTTATTTACTTGTATGTATTCGTATTTGTATTTACAAATTTTTTATTGGACCTCAGTAAGATCCTACAGCCCAGAATATGTGACCACATCGCGCAGTGGCGTAAGAAGCGTTGAGGTCTCCAAGCATGTTGAGTTCTGGATCAGGGCTAATTGACTAACATACGTTTTTCCCAAAATGAGGAGCTTTTCCTTTAATCCGTTGATTTGGCGGAGGAGGTTTTATATTTGCAGCTCTGACGTTGAGGAAAGCATGTTCAATATCTGTGTGAGTGAGTGCATGGGTCGGTGTGTTTCCAGGTGTGTCGGGACGTTCCTCTGCATGCAGATCCGACCAGGCACGTCCCCGACTACGCTGTTCGTCAGTTTCCACCTGTACGAGCGGTCCGGGGTCCGGTCCTGACTCTGTATATATTGTTTTTTTAACCTGATCTTTCTGTCAGAGCTGACTGCCTTCCTCTCTGCTGTACAGAAACATCTGAACCGCCATCATGAAAAATGTTGATGTCAATTTGTGATAAGAAACTGTTTTTTGTCTTTGCACCTGAGCTTTTATCTTCGTCGTCTTTGCTTGCAGATTTATTTAATGCACATGCTGCCTAATGTTTTTCTTTCTTAACATACTTTAAGCAGGGTTAAAGTTGTTGTCGGCGGACTTTTTTTACAACAGCACAAGTCAATAGAACTGATTTCAGGGAGATTCGAGGATGTTTCGGGAACATCGTGCTGCACTGACAGCTGCCGTCACAATTTAAACTATTATAACTTATATTACTGTAACAAGAACCCCTAAAACATCAAATGTCCTGAAGTCAACCTTTTTACACCCATTTAGCCCCATAAAATCAAGATGTGCGCTGTTAGCGGCTTCTTAGTTTTAGATTTTATAAGCTGTAAAATATAAAATGAGCAGCTTGAAAGAGAATTGACACCCTGAATTATTTTAATATTTGTTTGCAAGCACTGCGTCCTTTTGATGATCAAAAAGAGTCTGTTGGCCAATAAATTATATGTATATTATTATTATTATTAGCTGCCTGTGCACGTCATTTTCTAGCCCGAATGTTGTAACTAGGACTCATCATGTGTCTGACCATTATTTAAAATCCCCAATAATCCGAAAAATGTCCAATTTGTCTGATAGCACATTGTACTGAAAACAAACGGCCA